TATATATATATATATAACGTTGTTACAGCCATACTAGGAGACTAGTAAGCTGATAATACACGCATGATTGGCCAGTTTTCAGAGGTGCCCCATTCAGCGAGCCACGTTTTGTGGGCAACTTTTGAGCCTCGGTTTTTCATCGTATGGACCAAATGTTCAACTAAATGCAATACAGTGAATCCGTATTGAGACCAAATTTCGATGGGACTTGTTCTGTTAGAATACGTGAGCCAACGGGGCAACCCGAGTATGGCTCGCACACTTTCACCCTGTTTCGCACATGCTTTAACTTGTTATGCTTTTTGTTGTCTTGTAAACTGCTCATTGAAAAGGCCGTTGAATCCCGGCTATCACATAAAGCTCCTCCGTTTCGTTCTAGTCTTAGTATGTGTTCTGTCAAAATGCATCCCATGAGAATCCATCATTCATTATTAATACCGGATTATCCGATCATGATACAATTTAATCGCGCTGCTGATCCTCCACTCGTTACTGAATGAATAAGAGTCGTGCGTTAGAATCATTCTGAAAGTTCATGAGGTATGCGTCGCCGATTTTTCCTAGGAGGCATTTTTCTAAGGTTTTCAGCATCGTCGAACTTTTAAAGCGTGAATTCTAGATCTGGAACTTCAAAATCTCTTCACTGCAACCAAATCATAAAAATCTCCCCTGAATTTCTGGCCTCAACTGAACCCGAAGTATACCTGAAGGATATCGAAGCGCGATTCGGTTGATTCGGTTTTCTGGGTACTGTTTTCACTGACTGTGATGATGTTGACGATGCTAAACATTCGTACTTTAGGATATACGGAGGAACCTTACAGTGTTGCCTCATTTTCCACATGGTTAGAATGGACTTCGACGCCTGTGTTGAACATTGTTCTGTAATTTGGCCTCCCTAGGTTTCTCTGGTCATATTTCACGGTGAGTTGGCCCACAGGTCGAACTTTCGACTGGGCCACATCTAACTCAACAGTGAATGTACCGATGAACGAATTTCAGGATTATGTTTACTCATTTTTTGTCGCTTGCTCCGAAGGTGACCCATTTGCATTGGGTGTTGGTCTGCATGGCAATATCACTGATAATGCCCTTGGTTGTGGCTCTTGTCGTGTAACCATACGACAATTCATGCTTGCTTGTTATTGCAACCGAACCGCTTCACACTTTTCCGCCTTTTTACTTGTTGTTCCAAACCATGTCATTTCGTCTAACATCGCTTAGTGGTTTTCATGGAAAACTTGAACAGTTGTGTGATAGTCTCAACTGTGGTCATCGTAATGATTGAAATCCACTTTACTCGAGAAACGACACATGCAGCGCCACAAGATCGAATGCAGCCGGCCAACATGAAACCCCTATGTTGATGTTTGCCGTGTATACGCCAATGGATTACGTTGCACTGGGTAACAGTTTTCTCGTTCGTTCTGGTGGTTCGACTGGGTAAGCCTGAAGTTGTATCGTACAATGCATCAGGAGTGTTGAAAGTTGACGGAAAGGCCATCCGTTAATTTAGACGCAATTGGCCTGTCTATCTTCAGTATCAATGTTGTCGGAGGAGCTAACGGGTAGCCTAGTTCGGGAACCCATTACGTTAAATGTTGCACCCTTACACTCTGTGACTGAGACTCTTGGGCAGGCTATTTTATTCTAATGAAGAAAATGATGGGAACTTTATAGGTCATTGTAAGGCGCACGCACATAGTTCGCATTGGTCTGATTGCATGTAGGCTGTCAGATGTTGGCTCCACGGTAGCATGTGGTACTTGCATGTTATCACAAGCAAACACGCTCCTCAGTTAAATAGAATAAAGATAATTTTCCATTTGTGCCAATTACTCCACCCTTGTCACACTAGGTCCGTCGACGCTTCACAGTCTTCGATCGTCGGTGTAATTAGCATATTTCAGTGGTCGCATGCTGTTCCTCACAGGTCTGCTGATTTCACTATCTCTTTTTGATTGTCGTCACATCAGTTGTGTTGCACGACGCGACTACATCCAAATAATCCGAATTTATTGCCTGATCTGATTGTCTTTTGTGTCTTGTGATGGGTTCGATTTTTTGCGGCCTGCGATATTGCTTGACTGGGTTGGCCGTGTGAGAGGATCTGAGATCCTGAACTTTTTTGAAAGTCCCGATTTATCCAATTTGCTATCTGAATTTGCAGGTTCCCTCATTAAAACGGCGATCTGTTCCAAATTGACACTCCCTGGTCATACTACTCTACCTCACTTACTTAGTACAGTCAGTGATGTTTAGCTCCATACACTTCGTCTTTCAGTAAAAACTACGTTTCTCATTCAACCCATTTACCAACATAGCACTGTATTCCTTTGAAAGGAAATCTGTTTTGGCCCCCTGGTCTTGTTGCCCTGGGGCTTAAATTTTCCTACTTAGTATATGAACCGACCCCAAAAACGTCAAGTAGTAGCCTATTAGAATTCTACCAAATAACGCCTGCACATGTTGTCATGAAGAGGCAAACCTTACCGTGGTGTGATGGTTTGTGTTCCCCCGCAACCTAATGAGCTACAAAGAAGGCTGTGCCCGTGCTACACTCCCAGAGTCTCATCTCAGGTTAGTCAATGGTTAGAGAGTAGACCAACACAGTCTCTTGGCATTCCAGGTTGGGGGTTGAACATGTGTGGCGCTAATGTACTTGCATTTCCTGCCAAACACCGCTGCTTTGCGGTGAGGCTTTTGAGCGAGAGGGCTTGTTTGAATACCATACTCGTGCTTCTATCTAGTTTTGTGTGCTATGGCAGTATTCCAGCCTTCGTACAACCATAACACCTACAGTTAAGAATACCCAATAATAGCTGAGTTGACGTTTTTGTCGCGGCTGTGAAGGTCAAACGACTATTCTTAGGTACCTTAGTAATAGTCTCACCTCATATATCGGCGGTGACAGCAATCTACTCAACGGTTGTGGTTGCGCCTTTCCATGTCTCGGTAATTCAACCTATGGCATCCTAATAAAATAAGACTATTTACTAGTTCGCCACTCCAATAAGAACTGCTTATTGACTTGGTCAAATGACTGGAAAAAACTTGGTCTTTTATATTATGACATATGCGTCTAAGTCTTACTTAGTCCGGTTGGCGAATTTTCAATGTATCATCGTTGTGCGCTGTATCAGTACGGGCTTTGAGGTTCAGCCTGTCACAGTGCTGACAAAATCTGACTGATAAACTACGCCCCATGTGGACAGTGTGTATCCGATAGATTCCATTGACAACCGCCCAGTTTCTCTATCCTATCCGATTTGTGAAATAATGTAGGGCGTTGGAGCTGCAGTGCGGTTGTATCGTTGAGGTCAGTTTTCTATATTCGACCGCATTGTGCCCTTTTTATCCTCTTACTCTTGTCCTGCATGTCTAAATATGACGTATTGTGAACCTAGCTTCCTATAGCTCGTGCAGGCTTCTGCGTATCGAGGTAGTTCCCTATGCAGTGCCCCCTCTATGTAGTGACCCCTTGGACCATGTCTTATACGACCACCTTTCAACTACAATCATCCTAGGGGGAAGGTACTGTGTTAGTAACAAATTAGTTCACTGACCCATGTCTGTTTATCGAGCTTCAAAATGAACAATAAACTGTCGTACATATCATATCGATGACACCACCATGTAGACACTTTTTCCTACATCTCATGAGGCATTCACTGCCGTTGATGCTTGAAACAGTCCTACTGGAGGTCGTTCAACATAATTGGGTAAACGTTATCACGATAAAGTCCGTACTTCACTATTATCAGCTTATAGTTTACTTTCCATATCATCTTTAATAAAAGCATTTCGTACGATACCATCTCGTTTTAGCGCACGGCCAAAGATGTCAATGCATTTAATACGCGTACCATAGGTCAAAAAATTTCTATCGACCTTGTCAAACTGGCCAAGGGTGGACTGGGATTCACCCTAACCAGCAGGGATACAAAAGTCAGTCCTCAGGCCAATGAACCAGTATACGTGAAGAAGATCCTTTCCACGGGTGCGGCTATCACTGATGGTCGCTTACTGGTAAGTTGTTCATTTCTGCACCTCTCTTATGGGTCTCTTATGCAATAACCGCGTCACGTACTCTCGAATATGTGCCTCTTGCGTCGTAGGTTATGTGTTTGAAGAAAACCGTTTACCATCTACCGAAACAAAGATACCAATTTCTCAAAACGGAGTTTTTCATGTGTGTAGACTTGCTGTGGTGTATTTTTTCTGAATATCAGATTTGCAGGAAGTCGTTGACCAAAATGCTCGATCTATTCAGTATGGTTCAATGCTTTTTTAAGAACTCTTTGGCCATGACTGCTCATTTCCTCAGTATGTCATAGTCATATGTCACATGATTACAGTGACTAACAGCAGCCTATGAATGGTAAACCTATCGATAGTGATTTGGCACTTTCTCCATGGTGCCTTCAGAGCATCTGATCAACGATGGCCGCTTAACAGGCATTTAAGCCTTTTGTGACCACAACCTAAGCAATTGCTTGTTTGATTCGAATTTAGGTGTTGAAGGCCCCACCTGGGTGGTTAATGAAAACACCGACGGTTTTTACTTGTCAGCTGTTTTCTGTGCTGACGCGTTTGGCGGTTTTGTTTTAGCTTTGGCTACACAACTACTCACGAGTCTGCGTCCTGGGCGCTGTTCTACCCTCCTGTACTCTGGAAACATAAGTCACGGTATCCACGACTCCGGACGCTTGTTGAAGACCAGTTTGTTATTGAAAATGAGATTAGGTGAGACTGAAGAGGTTCGAGGCATCTGCTTTCCATCAGTTATCACTAGGATTACAGCCCTAATTGAACTGTATCAGCCTCATAAGTTCCAAACGACGAGAAATATTTGTTGAGGAATCATCAAACTCATGGTATGTTGCATAAATCAACTGACACAGCAGGTTTCCGGTTTAAAACCCCGGAACCAAGTACGCAAGTCGACTCAGTCCAAATGGCTTAAGCAGCGTTCCACTGTTCTGGTTCTGCTCACTTGGATTTATCGGGTAACAGAGAAACAAAACGAATTACTGTGCTGTTGTTTGCTTCACTGATTTTCTTCTCCGTCTGTCTCTGAACAGCAATCTATATAAATGGTTTTCAGAGCAAGACCTTTTATTCATTGCATTGCCATCGTCTTACTTTATGGTCTGCTGAATGTTCTAGTAGATTTGACGCTATATCAGAGTGGACTCCTTGTGGTAACCACGGGTTTAGCCCAGGATCTGGGATTGTGCTTCTGATGGGATGCTTCCTGGGTTGGGGTGGTGATGTGAGATTCCGTTTTTGCTAATGTGATTTGATTCGACTGCCTGGTGATTGTATAGAATTTTCGGAATTCCGCAGAACAGCTCCGATGCACAATTTTATCGACTGGTTACGTGTAGACGTGCACGACCGTTCGCTCATCACGTAGTCACTTAATCCAGGACCATGGAGTTGAATTCGAGTTACGCCCTGATAAACAACTGTCACTGTTGTGAGTAGATGAAGCATCTTTCGATCCTTTCATTTTCAGATAGGGGATCGCCTTCTGACAGTGAACGGGGTAGAGGTGGAGAACTTGGAGGACGCCATATCTCACTTACGCTCGATTCCCCCAGGTCGCACAGTCGAGTTGGTTGTTTCAAGACAAGCCACAATTGCTGGTGAAAGTAGGTCTTCGGATCGCAGATCCACTCGAATTAGTTCGGCTACTGGAGTGGCGTCACCCTGTCGTGTAAGTTGTTTTCTTCCCCACCCATTCTAATTTAGAGCCAATGAATGAGCCTCCAAATGGAACAGTTTTTCTCCTTTCTCTCCTCTTCTTTAGTTCATTCTACCAAGCAGCAAAATGTTTTTTCAGGTGCCCCGTGGTCTACCACATGCATCGATACGCAGGCCTTGGAATGCGATGAATTTCTGTAATTGAGTGGGGGGCTCACGTGGTCTATAATCTATAACTCAGACCTGGTGCACAATGTGGAGTTTCTACCAAACTTGCATAACTTGATCTATGTGAACCTTGTTTATTCCTCCTCGTTCAATATTTTCCGTTGTCCGGGTCTAAAGTTAATGTAAATTGCATCCAAAACCGTCCTCTGAGTGCAGTTTTTCGTTGAGGAAGTTCACTTTGAAGCTCGGAATTCAACTTGGCAGTGTTTGTATGTTCATTGGAATGCTTACCGGAGTAGGTTTTTTCCATTCCCTATCGATGGTGATCTGTGAAGTGACGTCCGAATAATCGATAACAGCTCTGTGAAGTGCGGCAAATTTGTTGCTAGAAAGTCTTGTTTTCTAGTCAACCAGTGGGGTTTGTTTCCGTGTGTCTCAAACTTAGAGAACCTAAAACCATTTGTGGGACGCATCTGATCCTCAAGTGCTGATTGAACGACCTTCTGTATTCGAGTTACATGGTATCTGACTAATCATGGCTCTTCGCAGCTTCCGCTTCAAGATATCGTCTAGAGGTCGCGGTAATCCCTCGGTTTCCCTCGTAGTCCAAACCAGGATTAACCAGTAAGGTGTTTACCAGAATGTTTCGTATGACAAGTGTTACAATGTATCGGGACATTCTATGAGCGTATACAACGTACGTGTTATCCCTTCATTACCTCAAATGGGGCGTGATTTTGTTCATATTGGGAACACAACTCATCAATGAGAATATCAATGAGAACTTATCTTGATGCCATTTTCCAACCCCTCAGTGTGCAACGCTGTCGTAGAATTTCTCTACGTGCCATCGTACGATCAGAACTGAAATACGACCACTCGGAGGAGTGGTGCCTGCCATTGCCGCTTGTAACTTTTTTTAAAAAAAATCAATAGCTTGTCTAGTAAGGTAAGCTAATTGCTTTCAGTTCAGTTTGACAGCTGTGAACCACTCAGATGGTTGAAGTCACCGCAGCACGCGGTAACGACTAAACGTTTGTTTTTTTTATTGGCCTGTGCTCAGGAATAATTTAAAAAATAACTAAATCTCTCCAAAATTCCTAGAATTGCACGTATCTTGATCCGTTGATCTTCATGGATGCAAGTGTCGAGTAAAAGTTTTACTGTTTAAATGTCCTCCTTAGTTTTCGTCCATCGAGGTGCTGGGATTCTTGAAAGTAAGTGGGGAAAATTAGATTCCCACTTAAACTATAGCTTGTGGTTGGATTTCATAGGTGTCACTGAGGGTCTGGTTTTGACTGGAGGCTGAGCAAATTTGTCAACTGAATGCTGTTAGTCGTTTATAGCTTTTGTATATTTACAAGGCCGTTGTAATCCAAGTCTAAATGAGGGGTACAACTTCAGTCGCGTTGTTCCCTTCTAGGGATGCGTGTGCGAGATGAACTCTCAGATGCCCGCTCGGAAGCTTGTTTTCAAAACAATTGGTTTCAAGTTTTCCAATCCTGTTATCGATTTTCGCGTATAGGATAATTTCACCTGCATATGCATGGTCTGCGCTTATAATTATCAAACACGAATTCGCCGAACACTGATCTTTTGTTTCGTTCGATGGTATTTTCACCTTTTATTATGTGCCTTATCCGGCCAAATGAGTTTCCCATCTCTTTGCTGTATCTTCCAGCCGTTCCGCTCACTCACTTTCGAGTTTTATCTTCCGTCGTTGGAGGAATCGAGAGGTGAACCGCCGCAACTTGGTGTTAATTTTAAGTGGGCTTTACATCCTCCAGGCTGCGACCCATCTTATGCTGAAAGCCCAGGTCTCTATGTTGACAGTGTTCTTCCCGATGGTCTGATAACACAGTATGGACGCAAAACTCTCCTACCCGGAGATAAACTTGTCGGATTAAACGGTGAAAACTTGGAAGGCGAGAGTGGCAAGGTGGGTTTTTTTTGTCATGTACTATTGTGTTGCATGCGTTTTTTTTGTCATGTACTATTGTTGTCGCATGCCTTTTCCTCTAACTTGGTTGTAATGAATCTGTTTTAGTGACACAAAAGCAACTATTTCGCACCTGTTAGGAATCGTCTTCGCAAGGTTGTATGTGACGTGAGAATTGCGGTTAAGCCAACACACTATACTGGCTCCCATTGTCGTGTTTCGTCACCCACGGACTTCTGGGGATGTGATTTCCAGTTTTCCTACATAAACAATGGAATCGTATGTGTAAAAGACCGACTGTAGTCTCTTTTTCCACTTCGGTGTTCTCCCAACTTCAAGTCTTCTTTCAAATAAACTGACACAGCTATGCGGCCCTTCGGGCACCAGTGTAGCTCAATCAAAAAGGACCTAGCATCGTTTACCCTCAATTTGCGCTATTCACGTTGTGTTCTGGTGCTGACTGGCTCCTTAACGAACGAATTCACAGTGGACTTTAACCACGTTACTGATCGGCGTCTCTGAGTTCAATGACAGAGTGGTCGACTGGAAGCTTACAGATTCTTTCCAAGACTCACGAAAAGCGCGCTGCTACAGGGATGAAACAACTGCAAGGTTCTTATTTTGCACAGTCAGTATACATGAACTTCACTCATAGGATGAAATTCATGCTATATATGTTGTTTTCTGGCCTCCAGCGCCGAAATAAAGCACTGCAAGACTGATACAACAGAACGCCTTCTCAGAAAACCGTTGGTATCTCCTGTTCACGTCGAACTACATTTTTATTCCTGAAAAGTCCCATGAGGACTGCTTTTTAAGTTCCCCAACTCCCGTGCGCTTTTCATGTGCACTTGTTTGGAGCGTTTTTTTTTCAGGATAGGAACCAAGTGAACTTGCCGTTCATCAGCACTAGTTGGCATGGATGGAGTTGTAGGGCATAGTGCGAATTTCACTGTTCCTTTGGAACACCGTTATTTAGAGACAGCTTATGCCGGCTTATCTGGCGTACAGTGGCCTATGTGCCGACGTTGAAGCCAGTTGTAACAATGAGGCAGTAGATATTCTCTTGAAGACATACCAAAAAATCTATCTGTCGCCATTTCGTTCATGCTATGATATCGCAGTCCTTTTATGGTCTGAGCTTGGTTGAATAAGATTACTGAGAGACAGTCATCCGATGGCGTGTTGTAGGGTAAGAACACAGTTTGGCCGTCAAACATATTGGAAATGCTTTAGTTGTTATTTGAAGGCGCACATTAGCAAGTTGAGAAACGACATGGGAAAGCTGGCGTGCTAAATTTTGAAAACCGGTGTGGTGCACTTGTTTCATACCCCTCACTCTGTGCAGGTAAACATTTTGTGTTAACGTTAACTCTGCTGCGGCATTCCATACGTACACTTCAACATCAATCGACAGCCATTGCCGCTTGACACCGCATATTTATCCTAAGAGAAGTTCAGCTTTACCAGTAAGGGTGTGTCGGTATTCGCTTCACATGCTTTCTTTCTTGCTCACAGAGGGAGTCTGAATTTGGGGGAATGAAACTGTGGGAGATTAGGGGGATAAACCTACCTGGTGAGTTCCAAGAAAGCGAAACCGGTAGCAGGCTCTAAAGAATTTTCATCGATCTTACCTGTGATGTCACATGAAAGAACAATAAGCGAGTTTGCACACAGCGCTACTTTATTAACGTGAATTGATTCATCTCAGCATGATCACGTGAGGGCAGTGTGGTACAGTACGTGTGATACCTATGGGACTCATTGTTATCCGACAATGTTCAATTGAAACTAGGTTTCCCTTTCGGTAGAAATAAGGTTATCATTGTGACTGACGAAGTTAGGTCTGTGGTTCAAAATCAGAAAGGAGCTGGCGATAAGAAATCTCGCCCGCCAGCGCAGGAAAATGGTCTTGAAGTCCACTCTAGAAGGTGAAATAGCTCAGTAGTTGAAGCGCCAATTTACTGACCAGTGCTTCCGTGGTTCGAACCCGATCTTCACATCTGGACTTCCGCTGTCTAGGCTTGGCCAACCTTGCAGCATCCCAGCCCTCTTGTTTTTTCCGGGTGGCATGGTAGCTAGGCACGGCAAGGGTGTCGCAGTCGATTACTTAACCTTGCAGCATCCCAGCCCTCTTGTTTTTTCCGGGTGGCATGGTAGCTAGGCACCGCAAGGGTGTCGCAGTTGCACGATTACTTATTTTTATCCACTCTGATAAACGAATGGTTGGGTATTTTCCACTTTTCGAGCTGGTGATCTATAGTGCCAGTTACATCGGTCAAACTTCTGGGAACTTATCTGTACGGAGGCCAGCCGTCCCTAATAACCGAACATCAAATCATTTGGATAAATGTGTCACGTGCAGGACACGGGCCAAACGAAGGCATGCCCTGACGGTCAGAATGCCAGCCAATCTGAGTCAAGCACCTGTGACTCGACGCTTCTCGCCCCCTCACGGAGATTCTGGCACGACCTTGTGGAACACTTTGACTACCCTATAAATACAGTTGTAATAATTTTCCTTTGTCTCCATTAAGGGCTGTGTAGAGCTACCGTGCCTTTTGATATACCATAGTGGGTGGAGCAGGAAGCCAAGGGACCGATACAGAGTTGCATGATCGTCCACCAAGTTACAACATTATCTCAGATGGATATGCGTCTTCTAGGCGGGAGACTGTTGGAACATTAGTTACCAAGTTTTTTAACACAGCGAATCTCAGAAAGTTCTTTGTGAACGGATTCATCCGCAAGCTCACTGAAAGAATTCAAATATATTGGCGCGACAGGCCTCCAGAAGTGACATTCTATTTATTTCTGACCAAGCCATTTTTGGCCTTCCTCAAAGACGATTTTTATGTTTTGCCTCAAGAACACGCGAGATTCTGCGATATCGCATGGGTTGCGAATTCCGTGACAGTCGTCAACTTCCTACATTGTAAAACTGTACGTTTTAATGTTTGTAGTCCGCTCAGTACTCAAAGCCGAAGGCTGTTTTTTGTCGAGTAGATAATTTACGGTCACTCTAAGATTGATGGCCCAAGTGGTAGAGCGCGAGCACTCTAAGATTGATGGCCCAAGTGGTTAGAGCGCGAGTTTACTCACCGGAAGGTCCGTGGTTTGAACCCGACCTCTGCCTCTCCTCTGTCTAGGCTTGGGCAGTATCTCAGCCCTGGTGCAGCCTTCGGGTGGTACGTCAGCTGGGCACAGAGAGGGTGCTACAGCTGAACGACTTTTTCTAAGGTAGACGCTTCAGGAATGGCCTCCTTGTCTCTTGACAAATGAGCCGTGGTTCAGAATAGTATGCTGAGCACCGGGTAGCTGAAAAACTCAACCGATAACACGGGGCTGTCTTTTAAACCGCTGAAAATTATCTTACATCGGCATTTTTGCCAAGTTAATGAATGGATTTTCGTGTCATTGTGTTCCGCGGAGCACTTGATAGATAACTAAACCAGTCACAATAGTTCCCTTGTGGAAAAAAAACATTCCCATGATCCCTGAATTCACAGTATACAGTCCAATATGGAGAGGACACTCGAAAAATTGTGCTTACCGCGAATTGTTTTGGTCACTTGAGTCGTCCAGGTGTGGCAAATATCATCCGAGTAAACCTAGTTTTTTTGTTGACGAGATGGAAATAAACCCGGTCTCAAGGTGTGTTTGTGTGTCTGTCCCGGCAGCGAATACTAATTGAAAAGGATATTCGTATCTGATGTGATTTTAACTGGCGTTACCTACAATGCAGTAACCGACCATCAGTTTCGATACGGACTAAGCTGTTCTTTTGTCACTACTCAGTTCCTAAAAAAGAGGGAAATAATAAGCGACGTCAGTTTAACGTCTTTCGGATGCCACAACTAAGTGAACGACTGACGCTTCAAAATCATTCAGTTTTTATGACGTTGGTTACAACTCACAAGACGGAAGGTGTGGTATGAAATAACTGTCTATTGATTACTGATAAAGGTAATTTCTATAATGTCAGCTTGCTGATGACGGTTGGGTTTTGGAAACTCGCTACCTAGGTGACCATCCAACGGTAAATGCATTTAGTACCATTCACCACGTGCGATTGTTCGCATTCGCTTCGTTCTCTTTGGTTCGATCAGCGTAGAACAAATGAAACAAGGTTGACAAGGTACTTCAGCCCATTGCACCTCTTTCCGGCCAAGAGCAAGCATCTTTTAGAGAGAATCCTTCACTCAAGGAAACAATTTACCTCAATCCCATGGTTGTATCATCTAAAAAAATTCGTTTTTTATGGTGGGACTTTCAATACGTACAATCAAATTTGGCACAGCTTTTACAACTGTTTTGAATTCACCGTACCCCTTTCATCGCGTTTCCCGGGTAAACGTTGCATTTTGACCGAGAAGCAACCGTAAACCGTACCTCCGTAATTCCATTCACCTCAGCGTCGCCCCCAGGAGGTATCTTCGCACTTTTGTGATAGAACAGAGATGATTGTGATTTGTCGCTATGTAGTTTTTTGCTAAGGAGTTTTCGGAATTTGGCGGAGAAGCTAGCCTCCGCAGACCTCTTGGAAACTACACTCTTCAGCTGATTATATCTTGTCATGAAATCCCTTTGGTAGTGATTTGGACCACGACCGTTGAATTTGATCCCTTTTCCCTTCCTCATCAGAATCGCACGAATTAAAATAGTCTAAATGTTCGTATCGTTACATGATGCTGGACTGATGTTTCCGTTTTCCAGATAATTGCCTCCCGAATCAAGCAAGTGCTATCCGGTGCCACATTGGAACTTCCATCACCCCATGTTGAGGGTCGAAATACTCACCGGAGATTCAGTCTGACGATTCATCGGTACAACGGACTAGATCGTGTCTCTTCGAGCTCTCGGTCACCGCACAAGTGAGTAACCTAGAGGTAGCTTTCGTTCTCACCCAAGCCCTTCAACCAGTTTATAGCCTTTACGTAAGTGTCGAGCTACAGCTATAACCACCCGTTTAGTATTAGATGCTGGTCGATTCTGTTCCCAACAGTGCCATCCTTTCTGCAGCCTTTTCTGCGTCAAACTTTTCTGTCATTCACTTTGGCCCAGTGACCTTCGTCAGCTATAGGCAGTTTCGCGAACGTGTTGTGGTTCCAGTAATTCATGCTTCTTCCACAGATGACTGTAGGGTGGGTAAGAGACAACTGTTTATATTACGGAATTGCCTATTCACGTTATGGAAGATGGGTATCAATGTGTGGTTGAATGGCTCTGTAATGCTACTGTGATAGAGAGATTACGGTTGATGCATACCAAAAGCAGTCGTTTTATGCAGAACCGCCGTTTTATACGCTAATTCCGAGTACTGAGTGATCGAGAAATATTTGCCATGCATTAGATCGCTCTTTCCAGACCATGGTGACAAAGCTATTGCATTTACGATGGGAGCGGAATGCTCTTAGGTGATTGTAAGCGGAAGCCATATCACCTTCGTTGTATACATAGATCATCTCTCTACCTGATCTCCGTACCACTCCCAAGCTACCGGTTGTTAACTGGGACACCTTACTTAAAACATAACGCCTGTTAGTTCTTTTTGGGAAGAAATGAGTAAACTTGTCTGAGACTTCTACATTTATCCCTTTCCGGGGAAACCAAAAGAAGTCCCTTCTGCAAGTAGACCTGTTGTGAAGAAAAGTCCACTGTCCATAATCTCCCTTGAAAGCCACGTGATTGTAGTCCGTTCTGGTGACCAGCCGCTCCAGGGGAGGCCAGATTCATTTGTTCGTTGCCTTATCCAGAGCCGTTTTTCTGTAAACTTGCACTTCTCCATAATCTATTACGGCAAGCAGTTTACTTATCTTGACACTCATCCTTACTTTGCTTGTCCACTTTTAATGGTTAACCTTCCATTTTAACCAATTTCATACGGGAGCAGATCGTCCACCGTTTTTGAAGAACCAGAGGATGAGTCGAGTGCGATTCACTCAAGTACAATCCACTGGTCCGATACGCGGCGTCGCCGAATTTCGAGAGCCGAACATGGTCCAGAGTATTCAGGAGGATCAGATAAGACACGATATCCATCAACCCCTCCAAGATTGCTTGAAAATCCTCATTTCCAACGCGAAGGCCTCGGACGTCGAAGTGTCTCTGAAAAACGCCATGCTCATGTTGACGCCACACAGTTTTCTTTCTTCCAGACAAACATCTTGCCTAATCGATACAAAATGCCTGAAGGTTAGTCGTTCAGTTCCCTCCATCCATTCAGAAGCAGGTGAAGTGTATCTTTGGGAACTGATACTTATCTTGACATCCTACTGACAGTCTGTACATTTGCGATATTTTGTTTTCTCTGTGGATGCTGTTTGAGTGCCCTCATTCGTGCCACGTTTTCACTTGCTTTGTTGCATGGTCACATCGTATGCAATACCGTATGAGTGTCTCCATATGTATGGATAGCCTAACGGCACTATCAGAACATGGAGATCTATTTAAACAGGAAAAATGATAAGAAGTGCACTATATCCTACGCCCCAAAAACGAACAAGATGATGGTGTGGGGTGCCTGTATATATTGTCACCATCGAGCAAGATGTGTGTATTACGCGTCTTTCTCCCTATCCTCATTTTATTGAGGATGATGCTTGAGCGTCGATGTGGTGCGACAATTCTCTAGAAATTTTTTTTCATGCTTGGTTATCGCAACTCAACCCCAAACCTCGAAGGCGTCTTTCAATTGACTCGTACTACAGTAGAACTTAAGGAGAACATCACAAGGATGCTTCGCCTTTGGTCGGCTCGTATGTATCCTCAAAGCTCAACGAGTGTTCTTTTTGCAGTTCTGCCTCTACTTCTAATTAAAGGTCTGTAATATGAATGAAGCAGCAACGTCAACATATGCCATCAGCAGTGTTGTAATTTCCCATGTTCCGTCTCGCTTGCTGTGGAACTCTCATAGTATTTGTTGCTGAATAACTTTACTGCTCACTCTGTCCCGAGCTGCTTACTATCTTATGTGTGGGGATTGTCGCCTCATCAACATTCAGACGTAGTGGAGTGGATGTCACAGACCCGTAATGCATATAACCGCTCACTTGATTTCTGCGAAACAATCGACTCACCTAGATTTTCCACTGAAGGTTTCTGGCATTGCCTGTTTGGGACATTTTGGCTAATGTTCACATTTCGTGCCCCTGATAATGACGACAGCAGTTAACCGAAGCGGGCAACTGTGACCGGGACTCCCTGAGTAGTTTATCGACAACAGTCAACAGTTAAAACAGTTTGTAGCCGGTAGGAACAAAGCGCTTGTTCATTCTATTACCCGTCCAAACGTGGAGGTCGAGAAACAGCGGATGAATGCTGGTGCATAGTTTTCAGGCTTGCCTAACATTGTCCGGTCAGCGCACTTTCTTCTGGAGTAATGTCTTCACCCCAACATTAGTGTACCAGGTCGCTGAAATTTGCAAAAAGTATGGAACCTTGCACAAGTCTTTTGACGGACACTTCAGTTGGGTTAGTCTGTTATTGCCTATCTAGTACAACTCACTCTTGGTTTCTCTAACATCTACTCGAGGTTATGCCTGTTGCTCCCATTTGAGCACCAACTAGTACCGGGAGCCCACGAAATTTTGCGCACTTACCCTACAGATCGTCCTAATATATAAAGCCTGCACTTTTTATCCCGTCTTGGGTTAAGACATTCCTCAGTACGCATTTTCAGCATTTGTATTTCGCAACACAAGCTTTGAGCACCTTTCCAGAGACGGCATTCTGGGGACTTTCCAAAAAAAAGCTGGTGAATTCTGTCGAAATTTGGAGGGGGTATGCACTCTTTTTATAAAGTGGTTTCTTGTTGTGGGAATTACTGTATTTCTGAGTTTGTGCGAGTGCCTGTGAACATGAATCTACCAGAGGACCTTGGATATTCTTTCAAGCTTACTATGTGTCTGGGATAAAGGTCTTTCTTTGTTGTCGCTCTTTGTAAGGCTATACACTTCATTGGAAAGATTGCGAGCGATGAGCACGTGACGTGATTTTTGCTTGACACACTATGGTCCCTAGTTATTCGATCAACCATTTGTGTGGTTGTTCTTTTATTGAACGCACCATCTTTTATTTTATGTTCAAGAAGTTGACAAGCAATATTCCACAATGCCTACTGCACGAAGGCTGAAACTCTACAAGGAACGAATGGCTGCAGCGGCCGCTGCTGTTGGTAGTGGTCCAGTGAAAGCCATGTACGCACCGGAAGCGCCCGAAGAAGATTTGGCTCTGGCACTTCCGCCAAAATCCAAAGCTGACAAGAAATCCTCTTCTCACCGAGGTAAACATTTTAGTGTACTTAATCTCCTGTCCGCTTTGGTTGTTAAGCGAGCTGCTCAACACCCTTCATCGTAGCAGTTTTCTCTCACGATTGCTTTAGTGAATGAGTAGCGCGATGCCTGTCTAGCCTGTTTGTTCAGTGACAAACAGTGAGGCAATTGCGTCGAGTTAACCTCTAATAGTAACAGTAGCAAGTGTTAGCAAATTTGTAGTTTTCTTGAATCAGTCTGTTGTCACCACGTAGCCGCGTGTTAGTTACCAGCTCATTAGCGCCTTCACCCTTGTTTTGTGGTTTGCCAGTCTACAAACGCTCTTCATGACCATAGTTGGGCGACTCATTGTTCTTTGCTGACTCGCTCCCTGTGTCATCAAACTTATCATTTTATTCTCGCCGCATCGCATCAAATGGCATCAGGTTTGCTGAAGTTCAGATCCCTGTGAGTGGACCGCACAAACTAACTGCAATATAACTCGTTTCAACTCACCAGTTGAATGCGGCTTACGTATTTGCTTTCCCACACCCTCCCATGCCTCTGGAATAACCTGGTGTGTTACCGTCACTACGTATCTGTGGGGGGTCACTAAGCGGTTGATTTTCAGTTTCACCGTCCTCAGCCACATCCATTTCCGGTCTCATGTAAACAGAAGTGGCACTTTCAGTCAGCAAACAATGTCCATCCACTGCTGAGCACTCGCAACTTCCACTTAGTTCATTTTGTTTCGCATCTCGGTGATTCAAATTACACTCAGGCAAGACGATGCCATGTTTGGAGTGTTCTGGATTCCGAACCAAACTCTACCCTAATATGCTAACGTACTAACCGTATAACTGCAAGGTCGCTTCTCTTTTCACAACACACCGACTTTCAGTGAGGACAGTTACGTTCTCTATTTGCTTTTGGTGTACACGCTCACCAAATTTTCAGCATATTTTCATCAAGTGTGTTTGCTAAGAATTTCATGCCGCACATGTCTTCTCCGAATTAAGGCGGTGTCTACATGTGTGCCAGTGATCGGATCGATTACTAGATTACAAAACACCCGCGGTAGGGTCACCGGTGTTTCAGATAGCGGACTATTTTTCAATTGGAGGTCTTTATGAGTTGTAGCGTTTTAGTTAACTTACACGAATCCCGATCTGGGAGTATGCTTCTGCATGCACTGACGCCTTCTGTTGCAATAAGCCAGTGCCCTCTGTATCACATAAGTCCCAGTTGGTATTCGTATCAGTATGAACTAACGAATGAACATAAATCAGGAAATACCCTGTGAAATATAGTGGGACTTTTGTATCCAGTCCATCTCATGGTTGCCGTAGTCCTCATCACATTTTGCTTGGAAATGATTATTCTCAAGCGCAATCGATGCGGTCATTCTATCAGTTTTCAACCGGATTTAACATAGAAGCCGCCGCAAATTTATCCTGATACAAGATAACCTTGAAATTTCTCTTCAGCTTTGCTGTTCACCCTAATCAGTCATCTTTGGGGAGCTGAACCTTGGCATGCCACTATATAACTAACGAAGGCATTATTGGTCTATGCACTGAGGCTTGGATGCCTGTGTTGGACGTGAGATCGCTCGTTTCAGGTGATTATGACTTTCACTGCGAAACTCAATCTTGTGAAGCCAAGCATATTTTTGTCCACTCACGATACTCTATTTCACCTCTTTCTTTGAACACGTGCCACATGTCAGCACGCCTTCAGCAAGTGCGTCCACCTCTCTTGTCTCTTCTGGGTGCATTTGCTGCTGCTTTTACCTACATGTTTTGGCTCATGCACGCTGTTGTGAGCGCTCTTTGCTCCCGTTGCATCCCATCTGACGTTTTGTTTGTACTATAAAAGCCGGGGTTCAATTCTCCCGCCGGTCAATTTTTGACTCCTCTTGCCTAGTGCTCATAACACCGGCAAATCAAATTAAATGGTCTGCGTCCCTGATCCAGGATTTCCCACTCGGTATAAATGGTTTGCGTTGATACATTGGGGATTACATCAACTGATAGCCAGCACGCTTTGACCCTGCGTGCAGTTTACGGGCGCTTTCCTTTTCCCGCATTCTGGCCCTGCTTAGCCCGAATGAACACCCAGCGCAATAAAGAAGTACCCTAAACGAAGCTCAATCTAACGCGAACTAGTCTGTTTTATTGTTTCACCGTCGTCAATAAATTTAATAAGCCCCCAAAACGTTATTCAGTGCCGCTAACTTCCATTCGAACTTTATCCTTTCGTACGAGCAGTATTTTAGCGTGTTCGATGGACCATTAGACTCTCAGGTTAGCGCAAACACCACGCCTCCGGACTTTCATCACCAGACTTTGCTTACTTACTTTATTTTACGGTGACTTTTTTCTGGATAAGCATGACTTGGCTGCAGGAATCGCTACCTCCGGATCTCACGAATACTCTCACTACTAAGCTGTTTTCGTTATGAAATTCAAGCCCCTGTTCGCAAACGTTTTCTCACCTCAGTTTGTTAAATCCTCTCTCGACCTCCATCTTAGTAAATTCCGCACCGATGACCACGACGATGTTATCCCCTGTTATCCATTTTTTATGTTTCTTTCACGCTTCTTTGCTGGTGCCATCAGTTTCACTAGCTACAACTGTATTTCCAAAACTGTTGTATTCCGGTCACCGGGTTTTGTGGTTACCATGGTGAAAATTCCACATTTGTCTCCGTGATTCTGCACAATGCCCGTAGATTTTGTTACACCATGTTTACAACACAATGTGAGGTTGATGCCTACCTTGTAGTTTGATGGGTAGGTCACGCCATACCCAGTGTGGCCGTGTTTTGCTGATCTAAGTTCCAAATTTCCTATAGTTTCTAATTCATTCTCTTTTTTGGTTCACCTGCTAAAATGCCAGTTTGTATGTTGCGTTCGTCTAGCCTTGTTCGTTCGATCAGCCGTTATAAATATGTCACGATTTTTTCATCGAATCTCTAAGTGAGCGATGTCTGTTACTCTTTGCTCTGACCGTTTATCGTAGTTCATCGTCACGAAGCTTGTTTACTTGCTCTGATGACCCATTTGATCTTTCAGCTGAGGCTAATCTACCGCGTGTGTCAAAATATCCGATGGCTTTATTACTGCTTGATGCGTCAGATGTGAAGATTCACATTAGAACTGGATTCACAGTGGCATTTTGGTCATTGGTTCCTCTGAATCCATTCTGACAGTATCACAAGAAAACTTAAATCCTCAGGTGTTAACTCCTCTTTTGTTCTCCTCAGCCGCGGTGTAAGATGTATAGAAAATCACTGTAAGCACATTTAGTAAGGGTCATGTCATTTCCGGTGGGGAAATGCATCTTTAGGTGGAGAATCGGTCATATCGTCTAGACCAAAATAGCTTCAGGATTAAGATTGCGCTCAACAGTTTTGGACGACCGGAGAGAGTTAGAAGAATGACCTGCTTTTCTGACGTGGTATGCATTGGGTGAAGCTGAAGCATGCGTGGTCTGTTGACTGCCACAGGGGCACGAATATTTCTCGACAAGTTACGTGAAAATATGCACGAATTTCTGCCTTTTGTGAACAGGCCAGAATCATAGATAAATGAATATCACTCTCTCGCCCGTTATCCTGACTAGCACGTTTGTGTCCAATTTCATAGAGATTTCGTTTGTGATCACTTGATCCCCGCTTCTGGTATAGGACGCCCTCTGTTTACTAGGTCTCCAAACAATGACACTCTTCCTGAGACAACTGGCGTTTGCGTTCCCAAATCGCCTTTATTTTATTTTCCATTACAAATAACTTTGAGATAAGACTCCTCTGATTGGGTTTTCCACCGGTTTCTTTCTAACCGATGGATTTTTCCAGTGTAAGTTTGGATCAACCCGTCCATATCTCCTGAGTTTTTGTTTCCAAATAGGTGATTGAGGAAGTTATGAACTTTGCCGTATGTGTTTTGGCTTGTTCATTTTCATAATGTACCCACATTAGCATAATGAGCTTGCGTTTCGACTGACGCAACGACGAGTAATTATTATCTTTTGATCTTTCTAATTACGAGAGTTGTTGAGACAAAAATAGCTAGGTCTTCCAGACAAAACAATTAAGCATTTTATTGGGGATCGGTGGAGCACAATGCTGCTGTATCAGTGAATATCATCGAATGCATCCCTATTATCTGATCAAACCAGACATTTCGTGTTCAGGTTTCGATCTTAGTGTTGTGTGTCTGCATCAACTTCCCAGTATGGTAAAAAGAAAACTCTGATGTTAAGAGAGGATTAAGGTCTACCAAGGATCCCATGATTGGTAAGCCATGTGATAGCCTCCAAAACGATCAAAGCCCCTTCCATCAGTTGCAATAATGACGGAGTGTGCTGATACCTTCCAGCTGACATGCTCATACAGTTTATGGCTTTTGATATGGCGATGTTTTCCAGTGAAGAACTGTTCACAGAAGAGTCTTTTCTGGTTTATATTTTCCATCACCACGATAAAGTTAACTAACCGCCAAGTCGCTCTGGTTGGACGATATTGCATTTGCCATCATATCCACCGCACCCGGTAACCAAAGCATGTTTTGTCTGTTCGGCTTGTTCCGTGGGTTTCATAACTACCAGGTTCCTGTAATGGGCGATAAAGTTGCTGTGGCTTAAAGACTTTTACTGTTCACGAGACATTCCTTTTTTTCTTTCGCGTATGTTCTTTTCCTTCCTGTCCGAACGTTTCCCAAAGACCCGACTTCAGTTAATCTCACGTTCACATTGGTCTGCTCTTGTTGTTGGCTATGCTTTTCTGCTGACATTTTGAGATTTTCCTATGTAGAACCGCCACCCATTCAACATTGTGCAAGTTGTTATCCACACAATGCAATATCCAGCTCTGTAGAAATTATACGTTCGGTGCCTATCGCTTTGCTTATTCTGTATCATTATAAATCAGTGCCTCCGACCACTGCTGTATGGTGTGCTGTTTTTGTCACAGGTCTCTTTTTCGCTCACTCTTTTCCTGGCGAAAACAAAAGACAAGAGCTTCACGCCAATTCGCAATACTCTGTGGTATCAGCTGCACCGGTCAGAGGGTTTAACCTCATTCAGCTGCAGTTTTCAAAATATCTGTCCATTGGAGTCCATTCATAATTTATGGCGTGTAGTGTTTCATCGGTGAGAGCAATCTTACACCTAGTTTTGCCGTGCGAGGATTGTTTTTCTTCTAATTATGATTGTTTCTCCTTGATTTCAGACCACGTTCGAACAGATCTCGAACCGAATCAAAACCACTTTCGTCGAGGAAGGAAACAGAATAACAGCTTTCGAAACGCAGTTGACCGTTCTCTAACCCTTTGCTCTCCGCCTAATCCCCCTACCCCACAACTGTCCCAACTGGCCAATAAATCTAACGTTGATACACACCGCCACGCTCCTATACAGTTTATGGCTTTTGATATGGCGATGTTTTCCAGTGAAGAACTGTTCACAGAAGAGTCTTTTCTGGTTTATATTTTCCATCACCACGATAAAGTTAACTAACCGCCAAGTCGCTCTGGTTGGACGATATTGCATTTGCCATCATATCCACCGCACCCGGTAACCAAAGCATGTTTTGTCTGTTCGGCTTGTTCCGTGGGTTTCATAACTACCAGGTTCCTGTAATGGGCGATAAAGTTGCTGTGGCTTAAAGACTTTTACTGTTCACGAGACATTCCTTTTTTTCTTTCGCGTATGTTCTTTTCCTTCCTGTCCGAACGTTTCCCAAAGACCCGACTTCAGTTAATCTCACGTTCACATTGGTCTGCTCTTGTTGTTGGCTATGCTTTTCTGCTGACATTTTGAGATTTTCCTATGTAGAACCGCCACCCATTCAACATTGTGCAAGTTGTTATCCACACAATGCAATATCCAGCTCTGTAGAAATTATACGTTCGGTGCCTATCGCTTTGCTTATTCTGTATCATTATAAATCAGTGCCTCCGACCACTGCTGTATGGTGTGCTGTTTTTGTCACAGGTCTCTTTTTCGCTCACTCTTTTCCTGGCGAAAACAAAAGACAAGAGCTTCACGCCAATTCGCAATACTCTGTGGTATCAGCTGCACCGGTCAGAGGGTTTAACCTCATTCAGCTGCAGTTTTCAAAATATCTGTCCATTGGAGTCCATTCATAATTTATGGCGTGTAGTGTTTCATCGGTGAGAGCAATCTTACACCTAGTTTTGCCGTGCGAGGATTGTTTTTCTTCTAATTATGATTGTTTCTCCTTGATTTCAGACCACGTTCGAACAGATCTCGAACCGAATCAAAACCACTTTCGTCGAGGAAGGAAACAGAATAACAGCTTTCGAAACGCAGTTGACCGTTCTCTAACCCTTTGCTCTCCGCCTAATCCCCCTACCCCACAACTGTCCCAACTGGCCAATAAATCTAACGTTGATACACACCGCCACGCTCCTGGTTGTTCGGATAAACGTCAGTCATTTCCTTCCCCTCGCACAGACGCTATCACACATCAAGAAGCATCCCCTCAGCATCGAGGCATCCCCAATCCTATTCTGTCCCCAGGAGCGGACGATACGCCACCAGTACCAACACGACGTTCTGCAAACTTTCCTGTGAATTCCACTGAGATCCGTAAACCGAATAAAAGATCTTTCGGTAGTTTCAAGGGTTTATTCAGGTAAGATCGGTTAATTCAAACTGTCGGGTTAGCCGCACAGTAATGCCAAACGGAATTTGGTGGCTTAACTGAGGGCCTCTCTATATTTAATTATTTCCATTTCCTTCTACATATTTCTATTTCCGTACACAAAATTTCGTTTTGCTTTTGACTTAAAGGCGTTCGGGTAAGCGGAACTCCCACGTCAGTCCATCCACCCAAGTAAACTCGCCCACTACCCCCGTATCTGTCTCGAATTCTGTGCCGCGCAGGCTTTCTGTTCCGGAACCGCACGTGTTCGTTAAAGATGATCGTCTACTCGAGAAAAATCACCCTTCACCAAAGAATCCACCACCTCATTATGTCAAACAACGCCCACACACTGTCCTAGACGTTGACCGTCCGGTTACACACAAGAATACAAACCAAGTCACTGATAGCGACAAGCACCGGGGTCGACATTCTCGAGCTCGACAGGTCGCTGAATCGCCTGTTACCCCGGAATCCAATGGTCATCCACCCTATATCACCGACCTTATGCAGAAGGTGGCTGAGTGGCGTGAAAACATATATATCCCTCCCCAGCCCGCTCCTCCCGTACCGCCCCGTGCCCGTCGTAACAGTCAACCCCAGAAGAAAGTCAGATCACCCAAACAGCTAACCAGTCATGTTTCTCCTCACGCACCCATCTACCAATCAGAAACACTGCATCCACAATTCCCAACTACAAACATTCCCTCTGGCGTACGAGTTTCTCGCTCTTCATCCAAGCAGTCTACCCCACACCCTCGAGATCATTCCCCTGTTTATGTACCCAAACAACCCAACCGGCCTGCATCAGCTGTTACTGTCCGATCTCCAATCAAATCCAACGGTTCTGGTCAGTTACAGACTGGTGCCTCTGTGCATCCTCGTCTGGCGCACCATCCTCCCACCACATCAGCTATACACAAGTCTTCTTCAAGGCGAGATAATGTGCAAAGAATTTATGCAAACAGTGGAACAAACCGTGCCGTCATTCAGCTCGCGGAAACACACCAACCAACATCCCGCGAGGTAAGTCTCGTTTTTCTTTGGTCTTACTTATCCGGATATTTTTTATCCATTTGCCGCTCTCTATGCCATAATGATCCACTTTTGTGGGGTTGAACAGCAAGTAAGTCAGAATATCCAACAACTTTACGAGGTTCCACACGATTCATCACTTGGAGAAGAAGTGCGAAACCCCTTATTTCGCGAAATATTGTTGTTTTGTAATCCCTCTGTTTGTATCTGATCATTCTCTAGTAGGAGTACCTTTGAGCATATTAAATACAGCCATGTCATCTTTGGGAACATCACATAACGAGCTAGCCTATGCAAACCATGTTCATAAAAAACGAAGACAAACAATATATAGGGTGCTGGACATAGCGTGTAATGTAGAAGACAAACCGTAGTTGATGTCTGTACATATCTCACATTTCTCCGACCTTTCGTTTTTCCCAGAGTTGGTTTGTTTTCTTGATATGCGTCCTCTTGATTTACACGAATTTGACAGTTTTAGCAGACCATATCGCTTGACCAGATAATTACTCCTTTTCTATCTACTGAACGGGGTGACAAGTGTATAGCGTACTGATACGTCAAACTCTATCGTGACCTTTTATAGGATTACGAACAGAACTGATGAATCTGCTACTTACAGAGTTTTCACACATGAGCGAAATCTTACACAGGGACCGGCCAAGCTACGCATTTATTCAAATAGGCAAATGTATCCAGATTAGGATTTCCTTGTTTTCCAATCCTATTGCTCACCATTCCATTTCCGATCTTTCCGCCAAAAACCAGGCTTTGTACACAAACGGCCAAACCCACCCATTGCCTACCATGATGATTTCAACATCAAGTCGCGCCGTTCCAACAGCTTACAAAGTTCAGGCTCGAAAAACTGGTCCGGCAATCCAGCATCGTCGTGGTTAATGTAAGTACTTTTTATGCTTCTAGTTAGCTTCCTTTCGGAACTCAGTGGTTTGTCCCAATTCACCACACCAACTTTCAACATTCGGTCTCTTTTATTACTTATCCTTGGCAAGTAAGATTGCGCCTTTCCTTTCTTGGTCACAATAGACATGGATACTTATAATTTCGAACAAATACGTTGTACTCATATGATTTCGGTATGGTCTTGTCAGGCAATTATATAAAGGAAAAGCAAGTTGGAATATGACTGGCCGGTAACATCAGTCAGTAAAATTGTTCTACTAATTGGAACCATTTTTGTATCAGTAACAGAGCCACTTTGATCTAGAATATTGATGGGTCATGGCATGGTTAGACCTTTAACGTAATGCTTCTAGAGACAAAGGGGCAGTTCTTGTCGTAAAACTGCTATAAGTTCGACTGTTGTGAGTGCATTTTGTTGAATGGCCTCGGTTTGCCGATACCTGATAAATTACATTGAATGATTCGACTGAATTGATCTGGTGTTGGTCTCGATAACTGAGCCTCATTTTTTGTCAGGACGCTTGTAAGATAGCATGAGCTGTGCGATCATTTGGGATAGGCACTGTATGAAAATTCCCAAGTAATTTGCGTAACAGTTAAGAACAAAAGAGCAGATAAGCGTAGATGACCTTACGCTTTAATTGTAGGGAATTCCATAGCCATTGAGCTATTTTTTCAACCCTGAAGAATTAAATGTTCTGTTTACAGCACCGGTTGGCCTACACATGAACATTTCAGAGGTTTTATCACAAATACGGGAGTCGAATGTTTATAGACTTCTTTTCTGCTGTTTGGCCCCTACGTCGCAGCCCGAGTTTCTTTGGGTAGCCACTTTCCCACTTGCTCGAGCTTCGTTTGTACTTCATATAAACGAAACTGAAAGTTTGTGTATTGGCCAAACCGCGTATCAAGCATATTCTCCTGTTTCCTGGCAAGCGCGACATCCATTAAATTGAAAATGCCATAAATTTTCTCTTCTGCTGTAAAGCGCAGTGCCTTGTAGGCCACGTAAAGTCTGGAAGTGACTCTTCGGTTTTAATATCTGAATAATACACATGAAATACCGATATAGAGTTTACAGCAATCGCGGTTAACGGACAGTCAGACCTCCATGAATATATTTTGTAAAGTAGGTCCAAATGTAGAGCCCTGTGTCGCTCCGTCCGTCTGTCAACATATTATCCCTCCCATGTATTGACAATGCTGTGCAGAACTTTCAACGTAAAACCAATTCTTCAAGCTTAGTATAGGATTAGATAGGATAAAATCGGATTAGCTCATAAAACTGCATATTTAAGCAACTGTTACGATTACAGGAACATTGTCGTTAGAGACAGTAACGTCAGCGTTGACACTGATGCTCTACTCTCGTAAAACCACAAAGTTAATGTAACTGTATGTAAAACTTTGGAATGAAAAGTAGAGAAAGGAGTGGATGTGAGAGGGGATCTGATGCTGGCCAACCGCGAGCATTCTGAGGTGCCTAAACCTCCAAGCGCTCAATCAGACAATATAGAAAGAAATTAACAGCACGAATGCCACTGGCGTCGATTAGCCACCATTTCTCCCAGTGTCTCCAGACAAACGCAGGAGGGGACTCCATCCTGGAAGACGTACAACACCGACAACACACAAACTCTTCTTAGTCTCTTTCACACCGACATACGTTGTCCACCTCGTGGTTCGCGCCATTCTGAAAGAGGTACGGAGAACAACCCTCGTCTCGGTAGACGGTGTTTCGGCTTACGCAGCACATGACCGAGCCACCGCAGTTGACGGTTCTTGATGTTTCCCGCTATTAAGGTACCAAACACCCGTTCTCTGATTACTTCGTTAAGAATTCTTTGACGCTATGAGACACCAGCAAAGCTTATGAAGCACGGGTGGTAAAAAACTTGAAGGCGCCTAAAATCATTTGTCTGCAGAGGCAGCGTCTGGCAATCACACAACAATACAGCCCTTACTGTAGCCTGACATACACAACCCTCAAATCTAGTGATGTCGTTTTGACGCCACGAATGATGCGAATTACCAAACGTGATTCTGGCTTTAGATTCGTGCACTGAGTTAATCGGACACTCCCGCCAGATCCGATACAATTGCGGAGGTATGTAGTTTTCGAAAACCTCCAATGACTCTCCTTGAATTGTAAAGGGCATGTTTACAGACTGAACGTTATGGAGCCTAACTTTGCACTTTGAAGGTGCTAGGCACATACCGAAAGATGGTGGTCAGTGCATTCAACAGAGCTTGTGCTGCGCCTTCGTCTTCATGAATGTACTATCTACTCCAGATCGCCGGGGTTCTCACCAGTAACGATTTGAACAATAGAGTTTTGAAAACCTACCCGCGTTCGCCTCATTACTTCATCAATGACGAACGAAGCTGAGTGAGAATAGATGGTGGACATCTTTTTCGGACACCAATTTTTCGAGAGCTCACTTTACTCTGACACGCCCAGAAGCATGCGGATATAGGGATCGGATTATGTTCACAAACTTCTGCGGCATACCCTGTTGAGCAAGTATGTTTAGCAGCAATGATTCACAACACCGACCGTGAGTCGTCTGTACATATCTCACGTTTCTCCGAGTTTTCGTTTTTTTCCGGAGTCGATTAGTTTTCTTGGTGTGTGTCCTCTCGATTTACAAGAATTTGACAGTTTTAGCAGACCATATCTTTGTCGTTTGGTTTTCTGGCGACCTGACAATTACGGCTTTTCTATCTGGTGAACGGGGTGACAAGTGTATAGCGTACTGATACGTCAAACTCTATCGCGACCTTTTATAGGATTACGAACAGAACTGATAAATCTACTACTTACGGAGTTTTCACACGAACGAAACCATTCCGGTGGGTGAAATGTGAGTAGCTGAATGGCCTAGCGACTGTGTTACTTACTGACAAAGGTATCCTGCTCGCGACAAAACCTGGCACATGTTTGCATGTCAGTTTGCTCTCTGCATCATATTCTTAGTGCAAGGACTATTTACATGGTTACTATAATTCCGGATAGTGCAGCTGATTCATCTTATCCAAGAGAATCTGAGAATTTAGCACGCCGTTACCTCATCTCGAAACCACCGAACTCGAACTGCAACCAAGCTACCGTAGTGTGACGATTATTCGGAAGAACAAGCTTTCGCTAGTTGTATGAATCAATTCTGCGTTCAAAGGGAATTAACCCTATTCCACAGTGATTGAAGTAGTTTGAGTGGCATGTTCACTGAGAACTCGGTAGTATACCGTTGCAACAAATTGAACTATGAGCTTTGGCAGTGTCATTGAAACTGTTTGGAGAAAAACTTTCGTCACGTCGTCACAGAACACAGAGGAAGTTTTTCCTCCAAAACAATTGCCTGTCGTGCGGGTTCAGAACGGCCGGATTAGCGGCCGTGATTAGCTCTGACCACTTGTGGCCTAAGAACCGGGATCGGTGGGAGACATATCAACTAGTACACGTGATAAACTGACGCCCACGGATCAATTGAGAGCACTCATTTGAGCGAAGGAATTCTACTCGGTATCTCATCGTCAGTCTCTTAAAGACACACAAGTGAGCCTAAACCGGTCAACTTACAATAGCACCATTAGGAACATGTGAACGCATTGATATATCCGATTAAACTCAATAGGTCGCATCATACATACCAATGGTAATAGATTGGAACACATTTAGTCCTACTTTTACAGCCTTCGACGTTCAGTAATCTGGGTAACGGCTAGCAACTTTCTCGCAGGGAATATACCAAGGTAGGTTGGGAATTTGTAGACGCTTCCCCTATTAAAGCTTTCTGCTGTATTGCCGAGCAATGAATTTGGTTCAGATTAATTCCACCCATACTAGACTTTTCCACGGTCCGGAAAAATTCGTTCCAGCGTTTTACGTAATGTTCAGCCTAGATTTAACATGTCTAACACTGTTCGTCTTACTTAAGCGTTTATGGCATTTCAACCATATTTTTCTTGTCTCATGCTACAGCTCCTTCTCTTCGGTACTTGGGTAGGAGACATTGTCTTAACCCCACATCAGCCTACAACATGCCTGGATCTCCAATCAACCCAGTCTCACCCGGTCACTCCAACTTTTCCAACGTCGTCATATCACTTGTGTAACAGCAGGGGACCTATTTTCAGCACACCCATTGACCGCACTCTCCTTCAGTGCTTCCGTCCGATACACTGCCTCGTATTACACGCATTAGTGAACTGCCGGTTGAAAAAAAAGGATAATACAAATCAGGATTACCATTATTCTTTGTTTTATGCTCAGCTTCCTACAATGGATTTATCACTTCGACCACCAGAGCTTTTTTACACTTAAATCATGCTCATTCATTCCAGCTTACTTTTCCCGCTGTCTTGAATACTGCCTGTTCGCTTCCATGGAGCTCTTCCCCCGTTCCACTCATTACATTTCCCATTAGTCTGTACCTTGCTGTCCAAATGTTGCTATCACTTATTGACTTCCATTCATGCGATCTCTCTAGTTATCGCCCTACTGGGCTTTCCGGGTACACCATCATATCTCAACTCGCTGTTAGTTGCCAATGTAAGTTGCCCGGAAACGATTATGAACTCCTACATTCCGTCCGCTCTCACTTTTGTACTTCCGATTTATTTCGTCTATTTTCTAGTTGCATTTAATTGAAGACCACAAGTTAGCTGTTGTCTGTTGCTTTTGCCTTGCGTTTTTCAGGTTGTAGTTGGGCCTGAGAATCAGTTTCCGAGGTTGCTTTTCCAGGTTTCCAAATATCAAATATTTGATTGAATAGGCAGCATCACTAACACCTGATGTTATTTTAAAAGAGCCGATTAACCAAATACCCTAGAGACATTTATTTGGTTCTCAACTTTAGCTCTAATGCCGCCAGGTTTCGCTAAATTCGGAAAAGCAAATTTTGACCAGTAAAGTCGTCCAGCTGTAACACCCTTCCGGTGCCTAGCTGTCATGCTACCGGAAGGAAGCTCGAGGGCCGCGATGCTGCTAGGTTGCACAAACCTAGACAGGGGAAGCCGGGAGGCAGAGGTCGGGTTCGAACCACTGCCTTAGGACCTAGTATTTAGAGCTTGTACTGTTCAGTCTAGCTCTGCAACACTCACTTCCCGTGCTAGATGCCCGTACAACACCGGAGATTCTAAATCATCTACATGGAAATGTGATAATTACCAACACACTTATTTGGTGATTCGGGGATGTTCTCGCGACAAACAGCACACGTGTGCCACACCTATGCGGTTTGTGGCGGTTAAACTTTATTGCTCATTGCTGTCACTGATGATGCTGATGATCCGGGTGAGAAATCAAGCGCCCCGGATACGGGATACTCGTATACCCCTGTACCTTCTTTGGGTTGACTCGTAACAAGGAGCAATGACGCGTTTGCGTGGCCATGTATTGGTCCTACACTGTGAACCGCCACCAACCTATCTGAATGATCCCAAGTCTTCTTAACTTGCTAGTAGCATACTTATTGTCCTTGAAGAATCCCCATCGTCCCTTGGGATTCAACTGGTACTTCCAGGCGCCACTAGACGATCAAGATACAAGGCTCCGTGATTGACAATCGATTGCTCTCAGAGCCAGGAGGGTGTGTTAGACTCAGCAACCAATGCTGGTGAACACACGTGTTGTTAATCTATTAAACATTTAACTAATATGGCTGTCTTTCACCACCGTTGACAGCAGGATTACCGCTGAACAGTGGTTGCTTGCTGTCGCTTACTCACATCAATTTTTGCCATAATTTATACAGCCACTACCAGCCTGTCAAAAATATCCAAGGTGCATACACCAGATATCTGGATAAAAACTGGCAGGACAAACGTTAGCGACACAGATAATCATATATTACAGCCTCACCTTGACCTCATTCTAGAAACGCTACTCCATTTTGCTAAAACACCTCCGGGTCTCGGTTCGCATCATCCTGAATTTGGTGAGAAAGTCGTTCCTCTTGTTCCCAAACGATAACTTGGCACACTGTCGAACCGCTGACGCTTGTTGTAATGAATCTAATCGTGTAAGCCCCTTACAGTCACCGACTGCCAGTTAGCTGGCACCAGTCCATACCCGAGATGGTTCTGGGATTTCGAGAAGCTTCAAATCCCCCTGGAGAAGCTAAGTTCGTAGGTGTATAGAGCACGCTACACAATGATATGATACACACTACCCTTTAAAAGACCCCTTGTGGAGGCCAGCGAAAGGTATTTGTCACTCACTATCAGTAGGAGTGTAACCTGCGTGTCCTGATCTGGCTTGACTCACCACAGCCCTCCGGAATGTACCCAAAATACTTACACTTAGCGCCTCTATTGAGAAAGCCCACTAACTTCTGGTGTTTAGGTTGCCTATAAAACGAAATTAGAAAGCTGATGTCTCGCGCCTTAACTGAGTAAACAAACCACCAGTTGTTTGCATTAGTGGATTTAGTCTCAACGGAGATTCCAAACCAACCACGGATGGCATGTGAGACACTTGAAGACAGGATATGGAATGTGGTTCGAACTCTACATCTCAACATTCTGATGCCAAATACGAACACGTGTGGTCGACCGGCATACGTGAACTACGGATGTACTGCACATCCTCAATGACGGTAATTGGCTGTAAGTAGGATAAGACCTCCGTGGTTGTCTGTTCTGCCTTGCGACCTGGGATCTTGAGTGACTGAAGCCTTCTTTGGGGTTCCTTTAAAAAATTCGCTTCGGTCTGGGCATCCTTAAAATATGCCACCCATACGAACATGAAATGCAGTCGGAAATCCCAGCGCACCAGTTAAAAGGATTGCTTTTGAGGAATGACATCTTTTACCTTCATGTGGTCCGTTGTGTGGTCTGTTGAATTATCTTATGCAGATCACCTACTTTCTCGTCTAATTACCAGCACTTCCACGACGTGGAGTGAACTGTAGATAGCATTAAGTGGAAAGGTCCGGGGCAGGCAGTTAACGTTGAATTCTGGTCCCATATGGGAACTCTGAGTGCAGTTGGGTACTTTGGTATTGTTTGAACTACAGCAACAGGCACTTGAACGTGCATGTATACTCCAGACTCAGTACACAATGCTTTGGACAGGGTTGTAGTCGCAGATCACCATGATAATTTCCTGGCTTTCGGAGACACCGGGTTCACCAATCGCATGGTACTTGATCGACCAACCGAAGCACAACAAATTAGTTCGCATCAGATCACGAACAGATTCTTTTTTATCGGCTCATTACGTTCATCATGCGCCAACATGCTGAGCTTCGACAGGATCCAATCCGGTATACCAATTAATCGATTCAGTCGAATATGACGTCCATCAACATCAGCTTAGCTGCAGCTGAAGGTGCCCGATCGACTGCTATTGGCTGGATAGCATTCCAATGCAGTAGGCTCATCATGAGGAGCCGAACCGCGTGAACCAAACCACTGGCGCAGTCTCCCCAACTGAAAAACACGTCTTGGCATGAATCACCCACCGCAAAACTTATGTATTTTTTCGTGATGCACATCCTGTGAAAGTACATATAACCGACTAAATACTGTAACTGCCAGTGCTTTTGCGTGATATTCCGGACCCTTTGAAAGAGAACGAAAAATCTTTCTAGAAAAGTTTACTTGAAAAAGACATTAGATCCTATCAGAAAATATCCGCAGGGCTCTTAGAACAAAATCTTGTTCTTCCAACCAGGTCTGTTCCGAATGCTCAAATTGCCACTGGGCATGGAATAGATCCAACAAACCATGCCAAGAAGAAGTACGAATCTCCGAACCTGCAAGAGCATTGGACAATGCATCGACAAAGCCTTGCAATGCCACGACGTTGGAGGAGAATTCCAGGGACTGAACTACACCACCACGTTTACAGTGTAGTAATAGACGTCCTATAGGCGATGGATTAGGCAGGAATTCAGAAAGATCCAAATGGAAGGCAGGCGACGAACCCCATATCCAAGACCACGCACGAAAGCCACTTAGGATCTGATCAAATCGAGCTGGGTCGACAAAATTCGGTTCATCACCTGGAAAAACGTGAAGAACCAGAGTATCCGAAGTGTGTGTTCGCCTCCGCTAGAACGGGCAAGAAAATGAAGCTTGGTGAAAGTGGTTGAAAGTTTCTGTAAAAAAAAACTCAGTGATGACAGCTGACAAAAACAGTTGAGTCAGCTCGAAAACCAAGAGGTTTACCTGAGAAAAGAAGACACATTTTTATCACACGAACTATCCACGAACTAAATGTTTCTGTTGACTGTTTCGTCACGCTACACACTAATTTATCTATGAATAAGAAACACATCTCGAATTATCGAAAAATTCGCGATTTACGACTGCTGAAGTGTTGGCCTAAAATGGACAAGAAGCGTCTATAGGAACAAACGTAGTCAGCACAGACCACCACCAATTAGTAAGCAATATGATGTAGTGATTAAATATATCTCCCGTGGATTGTACTGGCGTGATTTTCAAATGTCACTTGCAGCTCCACCGATCGATTTTTGCGTTCCTTCGAAGAAGGCGTGCAATTAAATGTTTCCTTTTGTAAGCCATTCCACAACTATGATATTTTTATGAGAAACTGGCATCCGGGGGCATATAAACAAGCCATTTGGTCAACCACCCACATCTTGTCATGTCACTGAGCAAAAAACGTCCGTACGAAACGGACGTTTTCCCCAGTCGCAGTACGTGTCACATTGCGGTGTGCAAACAGAGGGAGCGATTCGGCAAACGTAACATAACTGTTTCTGTGTGCATTTGCATTTTCTGAGAGCTGGAGTCTCAGAAAAGAAAGGTAATGAGACTAGCGACATGTGATTGAACTGAATGATGAGTGGGTGGTGAGTTTCTGTCAGTCGATGGAAGAGGATTGTGACCAGCCATTTTCAGGTATTCTGGTTTATACCACTCGGGACGTAGTTTAGGATATGTTTTTCTGCCAAAGACTCCGTCCAATTATCCCGACATATTTTCGCCGCATTTGTGGGTAAAGAGATGGTATAGCATTCCAAGTAGTTTCAATTGCGCGCAACAATACTTTCGTTAGTAATGAGGCTGAGGTCCATTTAGACATCAGGACACGGTTGATGTGGAAACATGTCTTTCAGGGTGTGGGACGGATTAGTTTGGAGACAACTCGGCTATGGTGCCGAACAACATTCTCAAGTTATTTATTGGCTAACAGAGAGATGTTTGGCTCTCGTAAGCACTCTGGCCAAGTTTGTAATGGGTGCTTGTCAAGTGAGTCGGCGATGATAAGTGCAGCTTGCAAGCCGAGTTGAGAGGTTTGGACTTGTACGAACCAGCTGCACAATCTGATCTCTCAAAGCGGGTATTCGGCTAAACCAATTCATAGGTCCGGCAGTGTTCAATGTCGACCTAGCAAAAAGTTTGGCTAGGCAAAATAAACAACGATTCAAAAGCAACAATTATCAGGCAGAAGCAACCACTAATCCGCTCAGCACTGACTTAACTGACTGCATCGTTAACTTTGTTGCAACTGGGATATACAGCGCTTTGTTACAACGGTACCGATTCTTCAAGCGATAATCTAATCTAACTAATGTGGTGCTCACGTCACGAGCGTATAAGCACAGCACAACCAAGAGCGCGCCATTAATGATGACGTGCACATACGTCACTATTTCTTTTTTCTTCCACGACCGTTTTTTGCACACTTTACCTTAACGGGTAAGTGTAGTCCTAAATGTATAGGCAACACTGGGGCGGCGAACAAATTAAGAAATCTCCATGGTTCTTTTTCAGATAAGCCCGCCGAAAATGCGTGGTTTTAACGGCGAGATATTAGCGTTTCATCGATCTCGACGTGTGGACCTGGGCCGCCGATAACTGCTGGAGTCTGCAAACACCGTCAGGTGCAAACTTCGCGGAGAAAGTTCTTCCGGTCAACAGCGGTCGTGTGGCTAATAGATGACTCCTCTGAGCAGAATTTGATTTTCGCCAATTTTCTGGACCAGCAATAAATATATAGAATTACTGTCCTAAACTCCACCCTGGGCCGCTCCAGCCAAGTTCCCTTTTGAAGACCGATTTCTTGCCGACACTGGCGGGCATTACACCTCCATCTGTCAGAAACAGTTGGAAGTGTCATTTGGAGGCAATTATTGCGTAAACGTTGCTAATGGATCCCTCCGTGGCTTCGCAAAAAACTTATTGCCGTCTCCTTGTCATGAACGAGAGTCGGAAGCGTCAGAAAGTTTATTTAAGGTTTTACGTCCGAACGGAGAACAATTTTGCACAAAATGTGCCTAGATGCGGACAAGGAGTTGTTTTCATCAAAAATACGTCAAGGTTGTGTGCGTACATTAAATTGGAGCTGGCAAAAAGTGGCGGGGCTTAACTTTTCGCACATGCACTTTTTACATTAGTGGCTTCCATGTGCCGTCAGTGAACACCGAGCTCCATTGACGAACTCCATCACTAGAATCAAATTCAGAGAATGCACTTCGTCAACCAGCTGGCATAACTCCTCATCGATTGGAATTAATCGACTAGACAGCGACCATGATCAAAGGTCGTTCAATGAGGAGGGGGGTAAAAGTCATATCAACGAAACAAAACAAAAAACAAAGTAGAAAAACAAAACTCTTGGGTGAATTGACAATGCTTTGGTGGTAGCTCAAACGAGGGACACTCAACTTGCAGCAAACTACCAGAAGACTGTTTGCAGTTGGATAACTACAAGGCAAGCTCTGATCTGCACTGAGGACATTGTTTCCATGTTCATAAACCACAGCCTCTCCACTCTCCTGCCTTCAAACAGTCATAACGCAATGTAAAATAACTAGGGTAACACGCAGTCAAACAATCAACCGAGCTTCTCGGAATCGTTTGCTGTTTCTGCACGATTCATTCCACTACCAAATACGCTGGCTCCCTATGGTATGGGTTATTTATGAAATCCTAGAGACCGTTTTCGAAAAAGTTTGGTGACAATCGGTAGATTTATTGCTGGGCAACGTTTCGCTTTTGACACAAAAGCTTCGTCAGGCCAAGTGACTAGGTTCCGAGGTTGATCGAGATTTAAGGCGGAAGGAGAACCAATCAGCTAAGTCAAGCTAAATCCCTGTTGGGTGTCGGCCGAGGGATTTTAGTGTGTTAGAGTGGTTGAACAAGTGTTGGGTCGGTGGGGGAACCTACATGTGTTTGGGTCCTGCCTAGGGTCTAGTTCTTCTGGAGACCTTTACGTATAGTGACAGACAGATTCTTCCCTGCAATTTGTGGTTCTGTGTGAAATCCCAAATAAACAATACCCCCAGCATAGAAACGTTACTGATCCCAGAGGGTAACTCTAAAGTGGCTAGCATTGCACAGGCGTTCATTTGGGGTCCACACAACGCCAGCTGGTACACTGGCTGCATAATGTGATGTATGGGAAGGACCGACTGTGGTTCAAGTTTTATGGTTATGGCCTCTGAACTGTGTCGTAAAAATGGCAACCTTGAAAGTAAACTGCACATGATTGGTCAGACGACCCATCGTTGCAATATCCTGGCGATTTAATCAAGCTCACATTTTAGGTGTTCTGCAGCAACACGTTGTATTCGAAGTTTCCTTGAAGTTTCTTGACCCTTTAAATACCGATATTCGGGCCTGTTTCTCACAAAGAGGTACGGCAGCTATTCGCCGACAAGACACTATGACGGACAACCATTTACTAGAATTGGACATTGACCTGGAGCAGTAAGAATACTGAACAAACAGCTGAAACTAACCAGCCTAACTGAATATGACTTCGTTGTCCTGAGCGATAGCGCCCAGTGTATGCCCAACAGCAGGTCAATAATCCGCGCTTGCACAGAAAGTGTCGACTTAATCTTAGTATCTCAGGTCCGTTAATAGCGTGAGAAATCGTTCAAAATCCACATCAAGAAAAAGCCTCGATAAATCGGAGTGACTAAACCAAATGAGCACTAGTCTAATTTACAGTTTCGATCAACTACAGGCTCGATGAGGTTAAACTGCATGTTATTTCTAGCATTTATTTGATATTTTATTGTTCTATACAGGCAGAAGCAGGAGTCACAAAAAACAACTGAAATTTTTGAAATTTTGTTTCAGTAGGTTTAACATAAATACTTTAGTGCCGTCGTGGGTAGTGTAGGTGAGAAAACAGCAAAATGTCGTGTAGACCAAAAATGCTAAGGGTCGCCACCTAATGCGATGCAACTCTCATACAAAATTCCAGTAAATAGACAATGTATAAGTTTATTATTGCGAAAGACGATCACTGGGATGCTGGGAAAATAGCATAAGATTTCAGTTGTTATTACGATAAGATCTGATTAGGCAAAACCGAGAGCAGCGGCACAACAGAAGCACAACCCTGAGGAGATGCACAAAGGAACATATTACGGTCACCTTTTGAATCGCTGCAGATCAATGGAGAACTAATCAAAACCATTTAATCGATACGGCTCACTTAATAATTGGAGATATTAAACAAGTTTGGGAACCATACCAGAAAAAATGAACAGCATATTCGCACCAGTGGACTAGATGCCTTTAAACACTGCGGAAATTCACAGCAAATTTGCTATGGACGACTTCTTTCCCCGGGTGCATGAGCGAGCCTGTTGATTTTGTGGGAAACTTCACTGACAAGAAGACATAGGGGATCCCTTAACCCAACAGTTTCGGCTCTTACCTAGTAAGAAAAACTGTCGAAAACACTGCAAAACTGTTAACAGTCATGTGACAACATGACCCGGGCACTGACTTAACCAGCAACAAGGTTAGCCAAGAACCAGCCCATATCGCGAGATCGTAGGTCGAATAAAAATGTCAGAGGCATCACTTACTTCTGAAAGCCATTCGCGAGCACCTTCAACCAGTATGGTTTCCATCTGTGCCACATCGATTCCCAGATTGACTACAGGACTGCGGACACTAGATGTTGCTTGAGTTTGTAAGGTTTCCTTCAGTATCAAGAGAAAATGAAGTATATAGCTATCTAATGATTTGAAACGGGCAAAAAAGAAACAGGCTTCCGAATCAGGGGTTTCCACAAAGTCATGGCCCTTTACATATGCATGAGGCTGACGGACTCGAAGGCAAGAAAGTAAGTTTGGATCTCGTCAGTATCCCTATAAGGTCCGTTTCCGGGCGCAAATTACTGCTAAATTAAAAACATTGCCCGTATGCCTAAAGGGGGTCATGAAAATCACAACTCCAGGAAATTTTGAATCAATCTATCGGAAGTAATCTTGACATAAACTCAAGTTTGGAAAGCCGGTGTCCCATTGGCGTACAACCATAATCAGATACATCGTATACCTAAGTATAAGAACAAAATTGCATGTCAGAGGTATAACAGAATCAACTAAACAACTTGAATAGAAGTTTAAATTCATCGAAAGCCATTTACATTTGCACTGCTGAGCCAAAAGCACAAATCTAAACAGTTGAATGACACGTCTCGTAGACTTCGGTGAAAGCCGTTACAGTCTAGCCAAAACACCGTCATCACGCCAGAACGGGTGTTACAAGTTGTAATGGGAATCTACTACTAAAAAAGCAATAGGACTGCTTATCCAAATCTCAATCGGCCCTTGATTAATAACGACCCAATCCGATTTCACCTGAATGCGGAAAAAAACAAATTGTGAACTGAGCTTTACTTCGACCGAGATAGGAGAGTTAAAACCCGTGATACTAGTTTCCCTCAAGAAGATAACCCTATTTCAAATAATGACAGGCTACGGTGTTTAAAAGGCGGTAGATGCGATTCAACCAGTACGGCAAGTTACCACTAATAGGTGCTTACAAAGCTTGGAGAAAGGACTTCAGATAGGCTGTGCAGATCAGCGTTGCACAGAAGTGTACAATGATGATAAGCCACTTTGTCACCAAGTCGAGAGGACGAACCCGAAATTTTTTTCCAGGTCTGGAATTTGAATAATGACAAAAGTGTTAGAGTTAAAAACCGAAATTTTAATAGACTCATGAACTCGAAAAATATAAATGCACACGATATATAACCTTGTAATCGAATCTTGCTACCCATAAATCAACTCGATTGTCATGTGAAAAAGGACTGTTTAAGACTATACCCAGACTGGCCTGTCACACGGTGAGAGAAAGTCGGTTAACTATTGTGTGTACAACGGGACCAAAAGTTCAAAGCTGATGCATGCAATATCAGATTGCAGTATCTCATACAGAGGGCAACACCACCGAATGCGAAAACTGAGTCAAACTACAGGATTCTCGTAAAAGCAACAATAAAGTAGGTTTCATTTAAAGCCCGCATGAATAACGTGATTACTGTTCTGTGTTTTAATCAAGTGAAGAGGTAAATCTGTGCTCGTAAAAAGACATTTGATCGCAGCTGGGGCAGAATAGTCATGTGCAATCTACAGAAGAGCGCTTACTCGGACAGATGGCACAGGTGTGCCGTCCAGTGGACTTCAGTTTGACAGATAGGTATATGCAATCAAAAGATTTGAGTGCGACATATTTCGCAGAAAATTAACTACGATCGCAACAATTAATGTTATTTCTGACAAATGCGCTGTCGACAGCCAAGTGGGGTGGACCGGAATAGGAGATGGAGATAATGGGTGACTTGCAAGAATGTCAGGCTACTAAGACGATAATCAGTAGCGTAAAATAACCGTAGGCACTAAAACACCTAGGACGTTTTCGCAACGAGGATTCACTGTCCGAATGAAGGAAAGAAAAGTTTGTCCTTTTGAATGTCTAGCCAACGCTACCGGTCTTCCAAATGTCAAATTTACAGGCAGTGGCTAGAGTATGGCTTGCAGAGCCCTTATGATCACCGAGGTGAGTTGCGTGATGACTTTGACATTTGGAAAACTGGTCACATTCCCTTCGAAAAATGCTGACGTTACTAAAGTAAGCAGGTGGTGCAAATCATGCCCCAATAACGGCCACACTAATAGATGCTAACTGTACACCGCGATTAGCCATCGGTGTCAGGGTAGCGTAAGCTGCCGCCCATAAAAAAAACTGCACGTGTGAGACCACATCTGACTTTCGTGACCATAAGCAATAAGACAGAAAACGCGTGAACAGATATCGTGAACGGGTTGTCAGAAAACTCCGTTCTGACAAATTATCAGAGTAACCTTGGAGCCAAGGTTGAGTGCCCAGCCGGACAGCATTGGAAGCACAAAGCATAGGATTCCATTCCTAGTACTATTCTAGATAGCTGTTGTCTGTCTCAACAGAACGGTCAGCACAAAGTTCTCGCACACTATCTTCAACTCTTAGATACACAGTGACTCCTCCTACGAAGTGGCGCGCGTAAAACAGTATGATACTAGTTGAAGCACCAGATCAAAATGAGTCCTCGATGGGGCCGTAAAAAGCGGTGATCACAACATGCCTCTGCAATAGAATCCACCACTCTAACCGGGGACTGTGGGGAACCGGTTCATCATCTGTGTGTCACGAAACGGTTAAGTTACCAGATCAATCCTCGAGGTGGACGGTACTGCACTCGACAGCTTACAATGATGTTTTGAGCGCTGTGCAGTGATGTGGCCTCTTGCAGCGGCCAGTTATTTCACACTGGCGGGATATCCTGACTAATCCCCTCGGATTCTCCTGTGCAAATGACTACACGCACTGAAACGTAGCAACACGCCTGATATAAAAAATCTAATTCCTTTTTACAGAGACGGAGATCAGTCGATTGCGAAAAAATTGTATGATATACTCTCAAGGACCCGGTTCAAAGAACACGTTTTCCGATACTGGACTGAGTCGATTTTTCATCCCACCTATTAGAACGCCTCACATGAGTATTTTAGAAACTATCGGGCTATAATCTTGATTTCAGTAGTATGTAAAATGCTGGCGTCTATCCACTTCTGCAGGTCGCCTGTCAAACGAGGAGCATGCTGTTTTTCGCGCATGCTGGGGCTATGTCTGCTGAATCTTAATTCTTCGTCTGCTGTAAAAGAAGTGTCAGACTTTTTTGCAGCAGGTATGTGGTCGAATTAGAGTCTGATGGGTACATAGTCTGGAAGAGTATGAAGGATTCCATAAAAACGTTTTAGCTGTTCCAGCACACCGTAAATATGAACATACGACCAGTAGTAGTGAGCCATGGCAATTTGGAGAACTGTAGAAAGCAGTTATAACAGTCAACGTGCTAGTCTCTAGAACAAAAAAAAGGATACGCGGAAGAAGCAGAGGACAGCGAAAATTCATAGGGGTTGTCAGAAACGAGAGGGTAAACAACCGAATAGCCACTAATGAACCTAAAAATACCGAGCAGACGAAAGGGATTGCAGACGAAGACGGTAGGTGCGCACCGCGTGCTGGAAGACGCCACGATTCAAATGTGCGCACACCGCATACATTCACAGTTTAATGTGCGCACGAAATGAACTAGAGCCTAACACGGGTTAACAAAGAACCAAATGCGAAAGGGGCTAAGTTCGGAGGGGAGCTGAGTGAAACGACCTTCTTCTCGCAGCGCAGTGGGGAGCAAGCTGGAATACCGATCTGACCGACCCCGTTCGGTTCCAGGACAGACCAACTCTCCATCCACATTGTCACTAGATCATAACGGACAAGTGCATAAAGAGCTGGATATCAGAAGCACGCAGAACCCGTAACGATGACTGCGAGATACATGCACTTAACCACGTATCATATTAAATGGGGCAAGGAAACGGAAACTACCCTATGGAGCCAAACACGCGGGGAACAAGACAATTCCCAGTAGAGCCTGAAATCGGACCACAGTTAACGAGGGATTTGAGTCTCTTGACAAAGGCGGCTTCCTGTGCAAATGAGGCGATTTGTCGGAATCTGATCAATTTGATTACACGCAGAAGATAAGGTTGCCGGAAACTCGAGAAATGCACCTATCTGATGAGCCTTAAGAAGGCCTAAACCGATTGTGGGCCGTCGAAGATGTTTCAGCAACCTTATGAGTAGTGCAGCATGAATATACAAATTCGAACGGTGTTGATTCATGTGGGGTAAACAACAATGATATCGTTCTGAGCGTCAGTGACTCACATAGAGCAAGCTGCTTTAAAAAAACTGACAATTATGATGTGCGTCTGTGCCTGAGAATGCAGGGATTGGCATAGAGTTCTGCCGATGAATGTAATGAATGAGAACTCACTTTACAGCGCCAGAGTCTATCTGAAACACCTGTGGAAGCCACGGGACATTCGCATTTCGCTAAAAGGTTGAGTATATCATGCTACTGCACGAGCTGTCTTGCTTTGCGGATGCATTATATGGTCTCTCTGGGTAAATGATTTTCCCTGAGTGTGTTTGAAAATCGTTGTACATGTAACATTGCCTATGTCCACCAGCAACAGCGAGTCAAGAACGATATAGTGAGACAAGATGTTGGGGCTGGTAGACTCAGATCGAGCGGGGTGGCATCGTTACAGCAGTTGATGTGGTCAGCGTTGTTCTAAACTAGATGCCAGCCCAATGCATTCATTCGTGCTGGGTGTTTGCAGGAGGAAACGAGAGGGATAAAATGTTACTCAGAGAACGGTGAAAACGGTCAGACTACCCGCTTTCTGACGATTCCAGAGCCTGAGACCATGATTGCTGTTGTCTGGGGGCAATTAAGAATACAGCTCCGAACCGAAGTCATCGATGGAGACGTCCAAGAGCTTACCACCGCAGCCGCTTTAGCTAACCAAAAGTAACCAATAACAAATGTAAACAAATTTCCGTGCTATCAACACACATGATAAAAGGTGTTCTATTTTGGTACTTCATATGCTACACATTTCCCCCATTTACTTCATGACTGTTTGACACCGAGCCACCAAATCAGTGGTTCCTCGGACTGCGTTGCGCACATCCTTATATTAAAACATGATTATTGTCACCCATTCTAATAACCAGACAGGAATGCGAGATAACTAGACAAGGTAACGCAGTAGTTTACATATCCACATGAACTGGCTACCATTTCAGCTAGTGAAGGTGCTGGATTGACCAACTTGTAGTCCTGATATTCAACCAAGTGAGAAGCCGAAAAGTTAAATGTAAAGTGTGCCAACACCTAGGATCCAAGGTCTGAGTTGATGGGTGCTCTAAAATGGGAATGAAAAGCGTTCGTCAAGAAACTACTACCAAAATCTCTCTCGACAAGAGGGCACCATTGGCTGTCCTAGGCTTTTTCAACACTCACTTTTTTACTCGTTTGTCCTTTTAGGCCAGTTGACTGCAAGAAATTTCCCTGTAGACTCTGGTCTGGACATCCTGTAGGATGTGCCACCCATCGATCACTTACGCCCACTAAGGGGGGTTTCGTGAAAACATGGGCAGCCTTATGAAATGTCATACACATGAAGCCATGAAAGTATGATGACAGGTGTGTGTGTGTGTGTGTGAATAATGCAGGTTCACGATGTGATTACACTTTGGTGTGCCGGATACGACGAGCATTTGTAAGAGCGAAAGTTCTTGAGTATCATCACCGTCCTGGTGCTCAAGTCACCAGCGTCCAAACTGGTAGGTGTAATCTGTGTAGACGATTCACAGATTTCTTTGGTATCACTCCATAGCCCCGCACCGGCATGAAGGGTTTAAAAAATGGCCTTAATCAATTGAAATTCACCACCACGTTACAAATTTGAAGTTGTTAAACTAGGGATGAGTTCCTCAAGATAACTCCATTGACCGACGGGATACTATGACCACCCAGTCACTTTACACTTAAACAAACTTGGATGAGTGCATCATCCAAACCCTGACCTTTGACCAATATCTGTTAGCATATGTGAAGTTCAGGTGATATGCTATCAAAAATCTTATCATTAGTCCATCTTCAGCACTTGATTGGTGAAAAACAGACAGATATACTGAGTCCCCAGATAATAAGAGTTACTGTTTCATGTGATAACAGCAGCAAGACTACGTGGCATATTTAGG